CGCTCGCTCGCCGCCTTAGCGTGGAGGGGCTCCCCCGGCGGCGCCTGCAGCGTCGGAGGGGGCCGCGCTGGAGACGGGCCGGAGGAGCTGCGCGGGGCGGCTCGTGGTCCGGTGTCCTGGCTGTGGAGCAGAAACCTCCCGGGACCGGATGGCGGCGAATGGAGGGTGCCCTTTGGTCCGCAGGAGCAGGAGACGGTGTGGTGTGTTAAAAGTAGCCACGTGTACGATCCCCGACACCTCGTTGACCCTGTCGAAAGAGAGAGAGCAGCGCTGGAGGAGCCTGGGACGCTGCTGTTCGGAGTAAGATGGTTCCACCGAGGGCATTCAGCGTTTTACAGCAAGCTCCATCCGCTGTATATGGACGGAGAACACCAAATTATTGGCAAAGAGGGTGTTGCCTGAGGCTCAGGTCATGAACTCCTTGCCAAAATATGAACTCGAACTAGGGAGATACACTGTCAAGGTACAACAAGGTTCCCTTTGTAAGGTATGGCTGTAAAAGCTGAACAGATGATCACTTTAGGGACAATGGCAAAGACATCAATTCATACTGCGCAGGAGAAGGCAGTGGTAAACCACCCTGTATTTTTACCGAGAAAACCACGTGAATAGAAAATATAAAACGATTGGCGACGTAGGGCCGGATGATGGGCCTCAGGTCGGGTGGCACTCAACCCGCTTCTGGGGGAGAGAAAAGGAACTCTCTGAGCGCTAATGGGGTTTATCATGTGGCTAGATTAAAGCCTTCGGGACGTCTAGTTGCTGATGTTGCCGAACTGGAAAAGAAAATCCGAAGCTGCAAAGATAGAACTGCAGTGGGATTTACCGAAACTTTCATAGTCTCAGAAACAAATGATGAGCAGTGCTGTACCTTTGAAATATCAGAAGCTATTAAACAGGGAAAGCTCCTGGGCCTTGTTAGATGGAGGGTCAACTTTTATTACCACTTAAACATGTGATGAACTCTGTTTGGGGGGGAGGGGTTCTGCCACACCAGAGACTTGGAAAGAAGCTAATATTGCACTATTACCCAAAGAAGGTCAAGATCCAACTGTAACTATAACTGTAGCTGCAGGGGAGGAGGGGTGGCTGTTGTCATCCGGGAGTCTCTGGTGGCCTTCGGGGGCTCTGCTCACGTTTCTGCCTGTGAGACACTGCTTCTTAGGTTGGGTGCCCGCGAACAGTTGGGAGCTCCAACTTATTCATTAAATCAAAATAAATCTTTGGTAGTTTACCTTGTGTATTGTTAATATTTTTGTCAGAAGTTTCCCTACAACTCCATTTTTAAAAAATTCCTACTGAAATAAATTCTTCACCCAAATTTTTGTGACTCAAATATTTTATATCTTTTTTTCTAATATGCACTTCTTGTAAAGCAAATCACATCTTATTTCAACTTTTTCAAATAATGGTTTTTTTTCTCTTTTGCACAGCATTTGCTCCATTTAAGGGCCCTGGCCTTTGGCTGCTGCTGCTTAATGCCAGGTCAGTTAACGACAAGGCCCCCCTCATATGTGACTTGATCACCGAGGAGGGGGCAGACCCGGCATGCATTACTGAGCCCTGGCTGGGGCCCGAGGAGGGGTGCCCCTCTCGGAAATGTGCCCAGCTGGGTTCTCGGTATGGCACCAGCCGAGATGCCAGGGCAGGGGAGGAGGGGTGGCTGTTGTGATCCGGGAGTCTCTAGTGGCCTCCAGGGGCATTGCTCCACAAGTTTCTGGCTGTGAGACACTGTTCATTAGGTTGGGTGCCCATGAACAGTTGGGAGTTCTGCTATTGTACCAGCCTCCCTGCTGCGTGGCAGCCTCCCTGCCTGAGCTGCTGGAGGTCATCTTGGGGCTGTTGGTGGAGTTCCCCAGGCTTATGGTTCTGGGGGACTTCAACCTACGATCCCCGGGGCAGTCCTCGGAGGTGGCTCGGGAGTTCATGGCAGCCATGGGCCTGTCTCAGATTGTGCGGGACCCAACCCGAGACAGTGGCCACATGCCAGATTTGGTTTTCTTGTTGGAGCAATGGCAAAGTGATCTGCAGCTTTCCCCGTTGTCATGGTCAGATCACATCCTGGTGACCCTGAGTTTCTTCTATACCACCCCCCTCTGCAGGGAGGCAGGACCCATGCAATTGATCTGCCCCCAGCGCCTGATGGACCCGTCAGGGTTTCAGAGGGAGATGGGGGATATTCCCACGGATCTGCTGCACAGTCCAGCGGAGGCCTTGGCTGCTGCCTGGAATAGGAAAGCGGCCGGGGCCTTGGACAGGATCGCGCCTATGCAGCCTCTCTTGCCACATCGGCCCCGACACTCCCTGTGGTTTATGGAGGAGTTGAGGGTGCTGAAGAGAGTTAAGAGACATCTAGAGAGCTGCTGGAGGAAAACAAAGACTGAATCCCACCAAACACAGGTTAGAGCCGCTATCAAGGCCTACCTTGTGACAATAAGAACGGCGAAGCGCCACTACTTCTCCGCCCTTATTGCATCCTCAGAATGCCGCCCGGTGGCCCCGTTGAGATCACTAGGTCCCTCCTTGGTAAGGGGGTTGTGGGGGTTCATTTGCAGGGCTGTGTGGAGGAGTTTTTGGAGCATCTGCAGGACAAAGTCACTCGGATTCGTTCCAAGTTAGACTCCGAGCGTGGAGCAGGGTCTGGGGAGATACCAGGGGACTCTTCTTATCCAGTTATCTGGGAACAGTTTGATCCTGTTGCTCCTGAGGAAGTGGACAGGATCCTGGGGACGGTGAAGGCCACCACTTGCCATCTGGACAGACGCCCCTCCTGGCTGGTGAAAGCAGCTCAGGAGGTGACATGTGGTTGGATCCAGGCGATGGTTACTACATCCTTGTGGGAGGGAGTGTTTCCGGCCGCCTTCAAGGAGGCGTTGGTGCACCCCCTCCTCAAGAAACCCTCCCTGGATCCT